AAATAATTTGCTTATGTTTTTTTAGAGATCAATCTATAATTTTATTATTTTTAAACATAGAAAACCACATACGAAAACTATCCAGAGGAACAAATTTTTCTAGTTTCGATAGTTCAAAGGTATCCGTTAACTAGTTTTGTAGTTTTAGGGTTGAAAATTGGACTGAGCGTACAATTTAGAGGTTAAAAAATGTACTTTACCCCTGAAGGGTAAAGTCTATTTTCAAAGGAATCGAATACTAGACACCATCTGTCTGTTGATATCCGACAATTTTGGTTGTCTAACCAGTCTCAAAAATATGATTTTTCTATGTTCTAAAAATAATAACAATATTTTTAAATATTAAAATGTGTATTCATGTATGTAAAAGTCAAATATAATTGAAAGTACACATATTTACGTATGTAGAAAACAAGTATTCATTGTTTAGAGCCTAGATGATACGAGTGACCTATGTTTATCTTTTAAAGATTGTTTAAACGGACTAAACTGTGATTTAGGCGACCGGTGAAACCAGGTCAACTGAACCAAGATACTCCTATTTGGGATCCTATCCTAACTTTCTTATATCCATATCTAAAGACAAGAAAGCGTGTGGCCAGGCTGCCCACACGGCGCGCCACGTCGCCGGCCGTTCCCGGCCGTTCGATCGGCCGCATCGACAGCCTAGATCGGACGAGGCGCGATCATTTTACGAAAAACCCCTTATGTTTTTGGGAAATCAACTCGCGCTCCAGAGGCCCTCTCAGAATATTTTGCAAATAACACCTCAGATAATTTTCAAATCAACCCGCAGTCCAGAACGGATGAGCTCCGGCTTTTTTGCAAAAAAAACCCTTCCTTTTATCAAAAATCAACCCGCACTCCAGAGACACTCTCAGCGATTTTTTCGAAAACCTCCTCAGATTTTTCTCAAATCGAAATACAGGCCCCCCTTAATTATATCTTTTTTTCCCAAAAAAATACGTGTGGCCAGTGACCCGTGCGCATGGGCGCGCCCGAAGAACTAGTGGATTCTCTACACCTACCGTTGCTCGTTCTTGGGCGATGCTACCACCTGTACCCGTGTACCGACCGCTCTAATATGTGATGATAGGAGGCAAAAGAAAGAGGAGAATAATACTCTGGCAGCCGGCACTGTAATACATAATACAGTAGTTACGAGATCCCTATCAATTATTCATCGGCAGCGACTGCATTATCATTCCAATGCTGACCCAATGGCCTGGGAAGAAACCTTTTATATTAACAACCATCAGATTTTTTTTTTGATCATATATGCAGACAGCCGAATAAAAAAGGATACAGTCTACGGGGTATGACAGCCCCGGGCACTGCATCTAAAAAGAAGATTTTCTCGAATTCGTCGAGAAACCTCTGAACTCTTGCCCCAATCATATTTTGACGTGAAACAGACGAGGCCATCGTCCACCGAAAACGTGCCCCCATAGAGCTCGAACCTGGCTCGCGAGGTGCACCGCGCGAGAGCGCGACGGCTAGCCACTCGGTGCAGCCAAATAGAATCTGCTAAAAGCCGTTCATTTATTTCTTTTTGTCTGAGATTGGGTTACATACGTTCCCTATTTTTAACGTGGAAATTAAAAGGGAGGAAATCGCAATCAGAATCAGTGAGTAATCTGTTTTTTAATTTATGATGATAAAGTCAGAATGCTGCAGAGGGAACTGGGAAGTGTCGGTAGGTTATCCGATTTGTGACTCAGCGATGCGTGCAGTGCAGGAGCGCTGACCAAACTAGGTTTGACTCCGTGCTGTGGTTTGCTGAAGGCAAGCAAAGGTTCGACTGGGCTCACGTTTAGTTTAGCTGCTCTGACAGTCTTACTCATCGGGCTCTTACCATCCACTTCCGGTGATCCAGAGCTTTACTTGATGTATACTCCGTATTTCAAAGGCAAGGTTTTAGATAATTTGGAAGAGGCTGTGAAACATTGACTACTACTCCAGTACTCCCTCAATCTCCTTTCAACCGTCCTTCTCATTCTGAAAAGTCAAAAAAAAAAAATTAACGTTAACTAAATATATAAAAAATTACTAATATCTATGGTGTGTAATAAATATTGTTAGATTAATCATTGCATATATCTTCATAATACACTTATTTAAAGATAAAAATGTTATAAATATTTTGTATAATTCTAGTTAAACTTAAAAGAGCCAGAGGGAGAATACTACCTCCGACAAAAAAGAATACAATACAACTCTAGTTTTGTCCTTAGCGAAACTATAAAAAACATGAATATTTATGACTCTAGATGGATGAATTATAAAACTATATTTCATGAATGATATTTATTTGATATCATAAATATTTATACTTGTATATGAATTTGAAAAAAATATTTAATACGGTTTGAATTATAAACATGCTAGAGTTATATTTTGTTAGAACGAAGGTAGTAATTAGTAAATCTAAAACGCTTGAAAAAGTAATTAGAGCATACTACGGAATAAAACCATCTTCAAAACATAATACAAATGATATGAAATAAGTATCACTGAATTTGTCATCATAGAATACAATTCTATAATACATTTACTTGGTGTAAATATATATCCATGCTTATTTATAAATCTGATTAAACTTTAGATAACCTGTTTAAATAGAATTGTATATATTTTTAGAATGGGACAGCGGAGGCAGTACTGTCTCGTACAGTACCATCATCCACACCCATCCGTACTAGTTAGCAGAGCTTAAATAAGCTTAACACACACGCTCATCAAAAGATGAACTCATCCCGGGAGTAGCAATGAAAAAACCAATCCGGCGAAGTAGCATAAAAAAGGTTTTGCGCCTTCCTCACTATCGAAAGCGACGCCTCACCTCAACACACGCCTCCTGCCGCCACTGGGTGGGCGGGGCCCGCGCCTCCTTTCCACGCAGCTTTTCCACAGCACAGTCGCCATCTGTCCTCGCCGTCGCAGGAGCAGGAGCGAGCTGCCCGCCCCGCGGGCGCTCATCAGGCTCTCCCTCCTCTCCTTTTTAGAGAGAGAGAGAGCGAGCGCGCGCAGAGGCGAGGAGAGAGAAGCACCACGCCGCGCAGCGCGCACGCACGCACGCACCAGGAGTCCAGGAGGAGGACACCGTCGTCGCCTCCTGGTTGGTTCGTTTCGTCAGTCGTCACCGCCTCCCGCAGCCAACCGGCGGCGGCGGGAGTCCTGGATGCGACAAGCCAGGACTGATGAGGCCCTCCTCTCCCTCTCCCTGAGCAGGAAGCGGAAAGCCCTCCGCTCTTTTCAAGGATCGTAGGCCGCACGCCCTGCAGCAGTCGCTGCGGCCGCCTCGGGGCGAGTGTCGAGAGGAAGAAGAAGAGACAAGAATCAGCTTCTTCTTCTCCCCCACCATCACCACCACCAGCAAGTGCAAGTGCTCAACTGCTCAAGGAGGAGGGGGATCGGCCTCGTGGGATTCCGCCGTCAGGAGGTCTGTGCTTCTTCTCCCCTCCACCATCGCCTTCTCGTCTCTAGATTGATTGGTTCCTCCTTCGCCTCTTGCTTTGGTCTTCGATCATTAAAAGCAAGCATCGGAATTTATGGTGTTCGTTGGGGGTCGTCAGAGATTTCGATTTCTTCTGTCTCTGTCTCTCTTTGATTCCTCCTGTGTGTGTCCTTTCAAAAAAAAAAAAAAATCCCAACATTTGGTGTCTGAAGAGTGGTGATGGTGATTGCTTTAGTTGTTGCCAGGATTGTTTCTTTACTCTCCTTGATTGATCGGTGCAAGCTCTAAAGATCATTCAGACGAGCTTTTGCCCCAAGATTTGGTTCAGTTCTTCAGCTCTCTCGTCTCTCCATGTGCCAATGTCCGTGCGCTGTATTTTTATCCCCTAATCGGCGTCAGGAAATACATACGGAGTACTATACTAGTACAACTGACGCCGATTCTAGAACGCACAAGGCTGGGCATCCGACTTGGCTAGTCCTGGTTGGATCCGCATCCGCTCGTACTCGTCGACTCGTCGGCCCCGTTCGCTTGCCTTAAACAACTTCATCCGCTTATTTTTTTCGTCCAAAACAGTGATTTTCTCTCTAAAATTCCTCCAGCGTTACTCCAAACCCTCAAGATTCCTCCAATATTTGACAAGCGAACAGGCCCGCGTATCCCTTTCCGGAATCCGGACCCAATTGAATGCCCTCGCAACGAACAACGCTGTCCTTACTCATTGTAGCCACCGTTTCTAGTACACCTCTTTATGCCCTGCTTTCCTCCTTTCAGCTAGTGTAATGCTTCGTACGGCACTGCTTCTCGTGGCTTCACTACCGTCCCCTTCCATCCCATATCCCCTTTTGCGCTGCTTCCATCTGCTCTGCCTTTTCTGTTGGTTTACAAGTTTGTTTGCTTTCTTATTAGTGTGACGAAAAAAAGGTGAAATCTGTTTTCAGCTATTTGTTCTGCCTGAATTTGTTTGTTGCTCAATTCGCTCGCAGCTGTATCACTGGGTTAGCGTTTGGTGACCAATGCACTTTCTTTGTCCCCTCCTCGTTTTGGCTCAACAAAAACAGTTTGGGGCTACCGACATGTTCATTTGGATTTGCTGCTCTGGTTGTAAAGCCGCAGCCTTTATTTCTATTTGGGCCCTGTTTAGAAGTTTTTTCACTCTCTCTCTATTACATCAAATCTTTGACCCATCCATAGAGTATTAAATGTAGATAAAAAAAATAACAATTATACAGTTTGATGATAAATTAAGAGACAAATTGTTAAAACAATAATTGTCAAATACAAACGAAAGTGCTATAGTGTCCAAATAGTGATTCCTAACCCAATATAAACAAGGCCTTGGTAGTTGGAGAGATTCACTTTTGCCACGGCTAGACCAGGTTGTCCAACGTTAGCTCATCATCATTGTTCTCTTGACTCCACTGCTTCATTATAATGCCCCCTCCTTCAACATGACCATATATGAGAGTGGAGTGATCACGGTTACTGAACCAGGCTCAACACTGCATGCGCAGGTAAATGTGCTGTAGGAGCTACTACAGCAATGGCGTCGCTGGTACCCGGGGTCCTCCTGAAGCTGCTCCAGCACATGAACAGCGACGTCAAGGTGGCCGGCGAGCACCGGTCGTCCCTGCTCCAGGTCGTCAGCATCGTGCCCGCGCTTGCGGGGAGCGACCTCTTCACCAACCAGGGCTTCTACCTCAAGGTGTCTGACTCGTCGCACGCGACCTACGTGTCCCTGCCGGACGAGCAGCACGATCTCATCTTGAGCGACACTATCCAGCTGGGGCAGTTCGTCCACGTGGACCGTCTCGAGGCGGCCACTCCCGTGCCGATCCTCAGGGGAGTCAGGCTGGTTCCGGGCCGGCATGCCTGCGTCGGCAACCCAGAGGATCTTGTGGTGACTAGCTCCTCTAGTTTTCTTGGCAGTGGCAGCAAGGCACAACCGTCCGTCAATGGTGGTGGTTCCAAGGATGCCGCCGGTGCTTTGTTGCTGGAGAAAGAGCAGAGCAAGTTAGAGAAGATCAACGCTTCTGTCAAGAGCAATGGAACAGAAAGCAAGAAACCCCAGCTCACCAAGTCGAACTCTAACCTCTCAAAGCAGGCACTCAATGGCCTTTTGGACAAGAAGGACATAGTTAGCTCAAAGGCAAAATCAACCAGGGCTAGGTCGACGCCTTCGTCTCCGACCAGCGTCCATTCTCTGCCTGCGCCGTTTGATAAACTCTCGAATGACATGAAACAGAGAGTAAAAACCAAAGGAGCAGAGAAATCGTCACCATCAAGGCTATCCTTGTTGGAAAAGGCTGCTTCTGTTTTGAAGGCTACTACGGCAGGGAGGAAGTCCTCTGTGGGTAACTCAATTAGTAACACCTTATTGAGCTTTGAATCTGGGCCAAAGGCCTTGAGAAGAAGTTGGGAAGGGAAAGCAGATGCAAAGGACAAGGGCAATTCAGATTCAAAGCCTGCCAAAGCTGAAAAGAAGTCCGAGAACCGAAGCTCGTCGGTATGTATCAGCAATGCTTGTCATATATGGGTATATAATGTTATGCCTTATTAATTATTACTTGTCAAGTTTTCATCAATGTAGGATCAACAGCAATGTGATGTCTTAATATTTGTGAAGTGTTCATTAATATAGGATCTATAACTCAAGAACCTGAACATATGTGTTTCATTTTAGGGACATGTATACTACAGTATTGCTTCAACCCATCAGTGATCCTATTAATATCCATGGACATGCAGTTTGTTTGGTAAATAATCTTTGTTGATTCTTTCATGTTCAGACTCCCAGACGAAAACCAGTAGCAGAAGAGAAGCCATTGCATAAGGATGACAGTAAGATTCTGACTCCACCCAGGAAGAGCTCAGCAAGTGCTCCTGCAGATGATTCTGATAAAGTTGTGAATAAGCTTTCTTCTCCTATAAGGAGGACGTCAGGGGTTTTAAATAACCCGAATATCACAAATCTAGTTAAGGTTGCTGCAAGTAGCAGGAAATTGACAGATGCTAGCACTTCATGGACAATGCTTCCTCCATCACTCGCTAAATTAGGAAAGGTATGAGTGATTGAGTGTGCTCTGTTCATTCGCCACCTCAGCCCCTATGTGTTTTTTTTTACAACAGCCCCTGTGTTGCTGTTGACAGTTTTATGCATATACATTATCAAAGAAAATAATAATGCCTATGGATAATTATTTTAGCCAAAAAGAAGGGGAGGATAATATATCATTTGAGCCCATGGTAGGGCAATGCTTCCTATTATTTACTTGGTGCTTAGTGAGATGTTTGTTGTCACAGGAGCTTCTGAAGTACAGGGATGCAGCACAAATGGCTGCTGTTGAAGCCATGCAAGAAGCTTCTGCAGCAGAGAGCCTTCTTCGATGTTTAAGGTAATTTTTTCCAAGCACATAACTTGTATGATCTTGCCACTGCAGAATTTATCTGTAGTTTAAGGCATCCGAAACTGTCACCATTTGAAGACTCTAGATTGATAGATGCACTCTACAGTAGTTATAAAAATGAACAAAACATATAAATTTTGTAAAATTTGGTGTGAATTTCCACCAAGTTCTTCTTAGTCATAATCATGGCCAGTTGGCCACTGTTGAGGATTGACTATACCCATTGATTTGCTATTTGGTTAAACATGCTCTTGAAAGGTTTTCATTTATCCATCCAATTTTGAACATGCCAATCCAAATCTACGAAAATCATATATCCTTGCTTCACATGGCTTCTCCTAGACAACATTTCGGATAATGGTTGGTTCTTTTGTTGTCTATTTGAATTCTCACATGGCTCCTAACATATTTTTTTTCCGATAATCCGCTGGCATGACATTTCAAATATCATTGCTCTAGCTGTCATGCATGACTCAATGATGCTATCACCTACTCCTATCTTTGTTTTGTCTCCCTTTGACCAAGCATGGACTTGCCATTACGTTTGCACATGTTAGAGTTCAGACTTCACATTGCCATTGTGTTCCTTTGCTCTACCGACAGTCTGAACACTTTTACTGAATGGCTGAACCCTGTAGCCCATGCTAGGCATGGATGGCCAGCCAGCTCTTCTTGTCGAAATGTTGCCAAGCAGGGAATGATCCTATCTGTACACTGTACTTGCCACTGCACTATTGTCCTATTAAGTGTATTAACAACAGTATGAAACTGGTTAGGGAAAAAAAAGCAATATGAAACCAACCGTTCTCACTGTGCTCCCCATCCTGACCAACAGCAATTGTGAATTTGGTTTAATCTGAAATTCTGATCAAAATGTGAAATTTACTGCTGTATGTATGTTACAGTAGTTGTCTAAGAACTGCAATGCAAAATTCTATGATCCCGAAGCTTCGTGAATGTGGTTTTACTTTGCTTACTCACTGTCAGAAGCATTGATGCAATTGGAGCTTGATCTGACCGTTGTATTGCTCTGATCAGCTCGTACGCGGAGGTGAGCTCGTCGGCGGAGGAGCAGAACCCACAGCAGGCCGTTGAGCAGTTCCTCGCTCTGCATGGAGCTCTCTCCCGAGCCACCATCGTTACCGAGTCTCTAACCAAGGCCACTGCCACGGCCTCCACCGCAAATTCACCGGATCAATCAGCAGCCGGCGACGCGTCAACTGCCGACGAGGAAACTCTGGCCATCGCGGTGGAGCGCCGCCGCCGGGCAGCCTCCTGGGTCGGTGCAGGGCTCGCCACCGATCTTTCTGCCTTCTCCCTCTGCAACCTCAAACCCGCCCCTGCCAGTGCCATCTCCCCGCTGGCCGTCGTGCTCGTGGACGAGTCAGCCAAGCCAGCGGCGGCGGCGGCGGTGGCGAAGGCGTCGCCGCCCGCGAAGTCGCGGCTGTCCCTGGCGAAGGGGAGGTTGAGAGCTGGTTCCGCTGCGGCAGCCGCCGCCGCCGCCGCTGCGGCGGCTGCAGTGCTTCCGCCTGAGTGGGAGCGGGGAGGCGGCGCGGAGGAGCGGGGCGAGCTGGCGCGGCGGCTCGGGGAGGAAACGCGGGGATGGTTCCTGGCGTTCGTGGAGCGGTTCCTGGACGCGGACGTGGCGGCGGCCGCGCCGTGGGACCGCGACCGCGCGGCGAGGATGCTTCCGCAGCTTAAGCGCGTCAACGACTGGCTGAGCGAGATCGGGAAGCCGGCGGAGATGGCGCCGCATCCGCCACCGGAAGCGGATGGCGAGGCCGCGGCACCCAGTGCGAACGGCGGCGCGGTCAGCGGCGTGCCGGAGGAGACGATAGAGCGGCTGAGGAAGAAGATCTACGAGTACCTCCTCACCAACGTGGACTCTGCTGCCGCCGTGCTCGGCGGCGGCGAGGTGGCGCCGGCACCGGTGGCGAACGGGAAGAAGGGGTGACGGTGGTGGTGCAGGCAGGGCCGCGAAGGAAGGGTTAACTGGGCCGTTCACTTGGCTAAGCCAAAACATGGGCCGGTCTGGATTCAAATGTAAAAATGGGCTGGATTGGGATTGTATTGTTTTGGTACTTTTCCCTTGGTGTTATATTACAGAAAAGGAAAATGGGTGGGCCTGATTGGATCCATAAACATCAAAGGCTAATTGTAAAAATTCACTATAAAAACATATTCATGGTAGGCAATGTATCTTGTGCAAACCAATTAATCTGTGCAAACTTAAAAATTATCAATCAGGACCACTAGATGTTGATCCAATGAATGGGGTTAGAGGTGGGATTTTTTTGTGCTTAAGCCCCCCATCCGCCGTCCTTTTTTTTTTGTGCTTAAGCCTCCTCACCTCATCAATTGGATCAGCATCCAGTGGTTCTGATCGGTAGTTTTCAAGTTTGCATAGGTTGGTTGGTTTGCACATGATATGTTGCCTTCATGGTATGCCTAGTAAAACCTGACTCTCGTGAATTCTAAAAGCGGTTTACTTCGCTGATGGTGACTTCCAAAACGCAGAGATTGGGGCATCACCATCGAGGATCTGGCGCGCTATCATCGATGGCAAGGAAGTGTTACAGAATGGCTTAATTCGCAATATGTCGAGATGCACTTGGGTCCTGGAAAGGGAGGAGATCAGGAACGTGTTGGTTCAAAATCAGCATGTTGACGCCAGAGGATGGATTGCCGATGTGATGAAGGAACTGGCAAATGACGAGTTCATTAGGGTGGCGGTGAGACTGTGGGCGATCTGGCATGCTCGCAGAAAGGCCGTTCATGAGAATATCTTTCAAAGCCCCCTTTCCACTCACTGTTTTGTGGAACGTTTTCATTTCTGAGCTGGAGATGACGCAACCGAGCTTGTGTAATTGACTCGCAACCGAGTAAACCTCAAGGCCCGAGGTGGATCCCACCTACAGCGGGCTATGCAAAAATTAATGTTGACGCAGCAACCTCAAAGAACTCGAGCATGGTGGCAGTGGCTGCGGTTGCTCAGGATATATGTCATTAAGCCCTCTACTATTATCACTATCACAAACCTTACCATCATCCAAGCATGTTTCTTGATCCATGACAAGAGAACCACCTGCATTACTACCGTGGAACTGTGGAAGAGCTATTCGTTCCATCTCATGAAAGAATTTGTGGCAAACCCAAGCGACAATGTCACCCAGGGTAAAATTTCTTTACCACCCAACATTGAAGAAATAAGGAGAGGATGGCTAAGTGGTGGACAAATATCTAGACAGAAGAGGCACCGTGGTTGCACTTTTCGCGCCACTCATATGTGTATGCATGCCAAAGTTGCGCGCCTTTTTTATAAAAAAAAAACAAAGGAGTGCGAATGATTCATTCACCAGACTTTTGACAACGAGTGCTTTAGAAAGCGTTCAGGTTGTCGAGCTAAAATTGTTTGGCACCCTAAGCTATGGTAGTAAACCAAACACGTACGTAACTTACTTTGGCATGCCTAACATGCAACACAACAACTTCTGGTCACGAATCAAATAGGTCCTTAATTGGTTAGAAAACTGGGCTTCAACTCTTTTTAAATGCATATTATCAATACCATTGATAAATTGCAATATACTTTCTTATTATTATATTATATGCCGGCAATGGTCCGGGAAACCTCATTAATATATATCTTGTGTGTACTTCATCAGATGCATCAATGAATTTACATGTAAGTGATTTGATGATTGGATCCTGAATTGTGCTAAGATTTATGCAAATTAATGTGTAAGTGTATCAATACTCATCTAGTAAAGAAGGAATAATTGCATCAAAGCATTCAACATTCTAGATTTGCACATAAGAAGAAAAATCATCGCTTGCAATGAGAATTCACATAGATATAGATATGCAAAGATATAATACATGATATAAGATTGTGAGCTACATATACTTTAGTTGGTTAGGTCTCTTGTGGTGCAACTGTGGAAGCTGCCCACTTCGGATTTGAATAACCACACAAATGGCTATAGTTTAAAATATTATTCTTTTAGCTATAGCTAATGTGCATGTCAATGAGGCGCTCATGAGGACTACAGTAGTTTCAAGATCTATCGGACATGTGTATGTATTCATAGGAGTGAGTATGGTTAATCACGAAGATGAGTATGCATGCGATCATCTACGTTTGTACTATGTTTTTTCTTTGAAAAAAATAGAATGCATGATTAGCATTACCACGCATGGTCAAGGGTTCATCATGTTGTAAATTCATAATTGTATTGGAATAATTAAGTACGATTTAGGGCAATAATTAAGTATTGATTTGGACATAATAACTGCAAAACAAGTGGCTCTGTGCATTGATTTGGTATGAATAAAAATATTCTAAAAATATATATCAAGAGAAAAAAAATCAAATATTACACAATGTGGTTTCACACTTTTGGTAGTGCTTGATCAGTTTTTCATACCATTTCTAAGAAAAAAATTACCGCGTCCAAATCTACTTGACGTTTCCATTATATTCGTGATTCTAACCACTACTCATCCACAAATCATCGGGTTATTATCGTTTTTGGGTTTCCATGCTAACTGGTGTGGCCCAAAAGAATATTTTATTTTTACATACATCCATCACGCGTTGTAATGTGAGGGATGAAATCAGTCCATGCAATGTAAAACGTTGCTTAAAACTTTTTTTTAAGAAAATGTGTTTCTACAGTAACTGAAATGTATTTTAACTTTTTACCCCTTCATCTTATGACAAAGTCATAATGTGATTTTTGTTATGGTTGACAAAATTCCCCATTTTTCTTGTTTCATTTCACAGTTTCACACACGTGATTCACACTCCACATAAAAATTGTTTTACCAACAAATGTCCTATATAAATCTCCCAAGTCTTCAGGATTCTCCATGCTCCATTTTCATCCAAAAATCGGGTTACACGAATCTCCAAGTCTGCGAAAAAGAGGCCAAGAAGAAAAAGGGTTCTTTCCGATCATCCTTCTCTTCTCTTTTTGTTTGGACACTGAAATCATAGGTCATATGCTCTTCTTTGCATGATTCCAGTTTTTCATCAGAAGCAAATTTAGATCTAATCATTTTTTGTGGTCTGTTTTTTACGTCAAATTGTTATCTCCTTTCTCGAGAATTTCTGTTCGACATCCTCTTCATCTTTCGCAGCTTAATGTGGAGCAACGTATTTCCGTGGAGGCGTTTCCTCTGATGAGATTCTTGTTGGCAATAACATGAACATGGATAAGACACCGATCGCAGGCGGCGGGGGCGGCGATGCAGGAGGCGGCGGCGCCGGCAATGGCCCGGAGACGCAATCCTCGTCCGACGCGGTGGCGCCTTCGCCGACTCCTCACACGGAGTGCGACATCAGCAGCATGCCTGACTCTCCCCTGCGCAAGCCCGGCCACCGGCGCGCGCTCTCAGAGGTCATCGGCCTCCCCGACGACCTGGACCTCGGCGCCCCCGGCGGCGGCGACGCGCCCGCGCTGTTGGACGAGAACGAGGAGGAGCTCTTCTCCATGTTCCTCGACGTGGATAAGCTGAATTCGCGGTGCGGGGCGTCGGAGTCGGAGTCATCGTGCGCCATGGCCAGCGGTCGGGGAGAGGCAACGGAGGCGTCTGCGGCAGGGCAGGGGCAGAGGCATCATCACAGGCACTCGATGGACGCCTTGAGCTCCATCAACGCAGAGCATCTGTTCGGGACAACGGCGATGGAGGGGGTGTCGCCGGCAGAGGTGAAAAAGGCAATGTCCGCCGCAAAGCTTGCCGAGCTAGCGCTCATCGATCCAAAGAAGGCAAAAAGGTATTGTTTTTGCGGATCTCGTTTGTTTGTTCCTTATGAAGTTCATCTGTTAGGTCATGTTTCGTTCATCTGAATATGTTCTCCATCAAACTAAAATGATTTTGGTAGTATATGATTTCGTAGCAAGAAGATGAATTTGGTGCTTTCTTGAGCAGAGATCCTTAATCATTCTGGTTCGAGTTATTACATGATGATTCTGTAAGAACTGATGCAATGCAGATGGCATGAAAGACAACTAGACAAGTAGTAGTTGGAGGGAAAGACAAAATTATTTGTCAGGAACTGTAGAGGGGAATTCTCTTGTCGATTCACAATTTTCCAGGAACTGTAGAGAGGAATTCTCTTGTCGATTCCACTGTTCTGACAACCCTCCTAACTAAGAACAGTGAAATATATGACCATGCCATTGTGAATTGTTAAGTTATAAGGAAGAGAAGATATATGGCAGGGAAGCCATATTAATAATTAATAAATGAATAATAAATTAAGAAGAAGAAGGATAAGAGCCAGTGTCAAGCTGGGCTGGAACCTGGGTTGGCTCAGGAGCAACTAGACTACTAACCAAACACATGACTAGGCTACTAACCAAACAAGCTAGCTCTCGCTCTTGCCTTTTCTTGCTAAAGGAAAATAGAAAAGTACTGATTCTGACACTATGGAGGCTATGCACCTTAACACCTAAGAGAAAATTTCTTTTTTATACATATGCTGAATCTTTTGTGCTAGTAAATAGTAGAGCTGTGTATATGCGATGAAACTTCAAAGTTTGTTTTTTGGGGATCATGTTGCAATGGATACTGAATAGCATAGTAGCATGTTCTCTGTTGATGGAAGATCCTTTTCTGGTGTTGTTATTTTTGTCATGAGACAAACCTAACTGCGATAACTTATCAGAATTCCCCCTTTTCAGAACTCGTTATAGTCCAAAGGAAATTGTATATTGCATTCGTGCACTTCCTACATATATGCAGACTTGTCACTTGCCAGAATCTAACAGTATTTGCATTCGTCCTTTTTTTCTTCTGAAGAATCGCATTTCTTATGTCATTTAAAATAAATTGAAGTTTGTTCCTAAATTTTGTCCTCTTCGTTGTGATGTATCGATGTAATTTAACTTTTAAAATGGAATTATTGAAAGGATGGAATATACTTGGAAAACTGTCATTGGATAGGGG